TTATTTTGGGTTGAGGTTGGGAAATATATTATTATTGTTTGTTAGAAAGAGCCTTGGCTCCCTGAGTAAGTAGTACTCATGACTCCAATCTGTTTTGCAGGTAAGCCTTTAGAGGGAACCATTAGTGGGCACGCGGAACGATAGGACCACCGGAAGTAGGTTTTTATATGTCTTTTGTAAAACTATGTTTGTGATATTTTTTTTTGACTCTTTTGGCTTTTAGGCCTCGGTCGAACTTAAACCTTGTAAAGTTGTTGCAAATATATGACAATTGTGGTTGTTGACCTGATATTAGTCTTGTCCAGACTAACACAACTCAAGATCATGGAACGGATTGCAAAGCCTCAGGCTGTGGTCAAGAGGTAAAGATACCTTAGACAGGTTGGTTCGGGGAACTAGATTGGTTCTAGTGACCTCTATCAACCGGTCAACGGGTATCTACTGTGGCGTCCTGGTCAGCGATGATCTGGGGCGTTACATCCGGTGGCACCTCAGAACCAGGCCCCAACTCGTCACCGCTCCCCACCGACCTCTGCATCTCCAAACACCTCGTGGGCCTCCCTCGTCTCAGACCAAAGCTCCCATGTTCCAACCTATTCGACTAATTTCGAAGTGCTTGACGGTGTGGTTTAGGCACTATTACATCATAAGTTTTACAGCATTCCCAGCCTTTGTGGTCTAAGTATGTGGTGGGATATTTCATAGGGGACGCTCCCCATATAGGTAAGGTTCACGCTACAGTCAATCGACTATGGAACTCTCATGATAAGCCGTCCAAAGTTGACGCTCAGTTTCTTAACCCGAAGACATTTCTGTTTCGGATTGATAATACAAAGATCATATCTAAAGTCCTGAGCAGTCAGATACAAACTACCACCAATATCATCTTTTACATTACTTGACCTGAATCCTGAAGGCACAACCTTTTATTTTTGCACAAAAATCAGCACCTACACCTTTATTAAGCACAACTCCATCTCTTCTAATGTTACGAATCTCAAGGTTTATAAGGTTTTGTAAAGGTTTTGTAAGACTGTTAAAAATATTCATAAATCTTTTAAACAATTAATAAGAGTTATGTATCTGTATTTAAAAACTTAAGAATTGAAATAATAATTTATAAGGTTTATAAAGTTTTTAAAAAGTTATAAGGGTTTTTACAAAATTTATAAAGTTTTGTAAATGTTTTGTAAGACTGTTAAAAATGTTTATAAATTTTTTTAAATAATTAATAAGAGTTATGTATCTGTTTTTAAAAACTGAACAATT